GGAGGGACTTCAAACGCTGGTTGGCTATGCGAAGGTTAGTGCCATCAGGAAGGGGTAAACAGGATCGCCTGGAAGCGATTAGAAGCCAGACCAAAGCATAACCCTTCCTCGAAATGGGCGGAAAACTAGATTGCGTGGCCAGCCGAATCACAGAGTGAATGTCCAGTTAAAAGCGAAAGCGAAAGGATTAATATTAGAACATCTACGGTAGTGGTGGTTGTAGCAGACTGGGATTAGGATGATACATGAAGTGGGAGGAGTGTGGCTATATGTTGTCTGTGAACACACACACTGTGCGCTGTGGGCTTGCAAACATTAACATACTGCGTGTAGGAGAGAACGCCCAGGCTTGCCTCTCTCCGGGGGATCGGTAAAACCAGAATGTTCATGTCTTCCAAGCGGAGCCTTCAATTGACAAAAAATGTCGCCAACCATCACCGAGAGGGTACGGGAAGGAGACTGGTTGTTACTATTGCATACTAGCCGTCATAACATTGAAATCGAAATTGTTGTAACTGGCATACACACACATTCTTGAATCAATGTTTATAAAAAGGACATAAACTCAGTCTAAAAGGAAGCAACTGCGAACCAATAAAAGGGAAAAATTTAGTACAGCGAATCCTATCGACAAGACGAGAGCAAGCCTGCTATCGAGGCAATAAAAGGACACTGTTGAGACCAAACTTGCGCCGAGGCGCGAAGCGAAATCTGGAGGACTGGGGGAGGACGGCGGGGGGGAGAGAATTTGGCAGACAGGAAGATGGCGGCTTTTGTAGGGAAGGCAGTGCGAGAGAGGATAGACTTAATCTTACACAGAGAAGAGACCTGTAAGCAGATCAACAAGAAAACCTTATCAAATTTCGTCAGTTAACATTCAACCCGGATGTTGCGCATGATGTACGCAGAAAATCTTCTGGAAAAAAAATGAACAACTGTGCGCAAGGCAAGAATGCACAGAGGAGAACTGGTTCACTGAAAATGAGCAAAGACTTTTTCCCCTGTGGTTCTGATCAACAGCCTTCCCAACTATCAGTGACACAGTCGGCTCTGCAAAAACGAGCTGCGATGCTGGAAACAGAAGGGGCAATCAATGGTAGCAGGGGCAAATATAGCTCTATATATGACAAGCAGGGATTTACCACTTGCTGACAACGGTATGTGAGTGTGTAAGTCAAGGTGCCTTCAGAGCACAGACAGGTTCCAGGCGAAGACATACAATAAATTAACAAGTCTGGCCAGCTTTTTGCTGAATGCTTCAAAACTAGATCAAATAAATGATGTAAATCTGACAAAACACAGTAATTCGGTGTATTCTGGATTGCCTGTTTAGTAAATCATACTTGGGCAGTCAGCCTATCTTGCATTTGCAATTACTGCTTCTCGAATAGATTAGATAGCTACACTCACTGCACATGGAAGCAGCTGACACAAGAGTAGCTGCGGTAGGCATAAAACCGCACTTCTCTACAAACTGTTATTGCAGCTAAAGCCTTAAAGGGCAGAAGAAAAGGTGGGCGTACACTTGATATGATGACGAACAGTTAGAAGGAGTAGCAGGTGGTCATGCAACATATGCTTCAAAGTAGGAAGCAGGAGGGAATGTATGCCATAAAGGGACTTGGAGGTTTAAAAATTTGATCCCACAAGTTAAAGACACCTACAGATTTTATAGAAATTTATGTTTTTAAATGTTTATTTCCTCAAAAAATAATTTTTAAGCCGGATTAGACCAGTATATTCAGGGGTTTACAGGAGAAGACTGAAATTTGATATCAATATGTGGGCCAAAGTCGATCAACCACTGCAGGATAATCGCGTAATATTCACAAGATGCGATCAGGCAGTAAGTAGTATAACCTAGTTAATGCCAATAGAGGTGAATATGCGAGTTCCGGGAAGCAGTTCAGAAGAAGATGCGACCACTGGAACAAGAATGTTATTGTCCTGACGTTTCGGGTTCCGTCGGGAATCCTTAATCATAAGTGATGATAGGATAGTCTGAGTCATGTGCAGATAGGGGGTGAAACATGCACAGATTGCACGGTAGCCACCCAAGCGGTGGCTACAGGGGTGGATAACTAGAGTACGCACGCGGACGACCGCTACTAACTATAAATACCGTGCAGTCTGGGCATGTTTCAGCCCTATCTGCGCATGAATCAGACTATCGTACCATAACCTATGATTAAGGATTCCCGACGGAGTCAGAAACGTCAGGACAATAAAACTTTTGTTCCAGTGGTCGCATCTTCTTCTCCTTCTGAACCTAGGTAATTATTGACTATGCTGGCAGCACAAGTACTACCTTAAAGCTCAGACACGTGTTTCGTCGGTATTCTGCTGCTGTTGCTGCTTGATACTGCTGTTTGATACTGCTGCCGGGGGTCCGACTCATCAGCATTCAGCATTATGTGCTTTCTGGTAAATACTGCAGTTTTAAAATTTCGGCTTTTTAGTTTCCTCAGAAATAAATGCCTAACTCGGAAATGTTGGGAGACCCACTTATGAGCTGTACTTTTCAAATCTGTGTCGATCCGAGGCAGAATACCGACGAAACACGTGTCTGGACGTTTACCTA